AACCAGCACCACCTTGGGTACTGGAGAGACGGTTCAGTGGTTAAGAGCACTTGATGCTCTTGCAGAGAATCAGGGATTGACTCCCAGTACACACATGGTTTAAAACCATCTCTAATTTCATTTCAAGGAGTTGTTATTCTCTCTTCTGATTTCTGTGGGCAAGAAGCACTTACATGGTGCAGTACGAATAATAAAGACCCAGAGACTGATATTGGGGTTCAAGCTTTAAGCTGGAGATCAGAGAAGCAAAGCAGCCAAGCCAGTAGCTCTTACCTCTACCCAGCTGAAACAACAATCCTGTCTCCACAAATGCTCAGAGGCAAAACGGCTCTGAATTCCTGTCTCCTCTTCCTTACATTCCTTTCTCCACCAGCTATGTCCTCCTGTCTCCACCTCGATAGTACTGGGATTAAAGGTGGGTGATCCCAAGTGCTGAGAACATCTTTGTGTGAGCTGTTTCTTTTAGGACTGGATCAATTTCATGTAGTCAGTGTGGCCTTGAACCAATAGAGATAGGTCTACCTGTTAATCTTGAGTCCTGGGATTAAAGGTATGCACCACTACCACCTAGTTCTATGGCTGGTGGGATTAAAGGTGTATATCACCACTGCCTGATCTCTGCAGCTTGAGGTTGGCTCTGCTTTCTGAATCCTCAGACAAGCTTTAATAAATCATAAATAATATATCACCACACATGGTGCACAGACACACATGCAGGCAAAACCCTTACATGTAAAATGAAACAAATAAATATAGTAAAACTTATATGAAACCCAGCACCACTTGGGTGGCTCTTACAAAGTTCAGATAAACACATGAGATGCAGCTTTAGCTCTCTGTGGACTACAGCTTCTGTGTGCTGACCCCGTGGGGATATTCACAGAAGACTGTACCTCAGTGATTCTTGTCTCTTTTTCAATCTGCTAATTTCTCAGCTCCAGTTAACCAGCGCAGATTGTCCGAGTGAAGCAGTGGTTTCTCTTCAGTGGTGCTGATCTCTGGCTGATCACAGCCATTCTTCCGCTCCAGCCGATCAGACACCATAGATTATTAATTAAAAATATCACAAACTGGTCCAGGTAGAGTCTCTGCTTCCCTCTGAACCTTCATAAGGAAGTCCTTCATCATCTGCCTTGCTCTCACCTTTCCTTCCTTCCTGTCTCTCATGGAAGCACCATTGAGCTTTTATCAGCCAACGGCTTTTGTAGCTCAAAGTTCCAATGCCACCACAATCCTCCCCAAAACACATGGCCAGGTCTGTCACCACAATTTCTCACTCCTGGAACCTGGTTCTACTTAGGTAATAAAACACAAAGACCACAGCCACTTATGGAAGAATGGGTGTATTTGGGACTTACAGTTTCAGAGGGTTAAGAGTCCATCACCATCATGACAGGCTGCCATGGTGGCAGGAACAGCTGTGAGCTCATATCTCAAACACAAGCAGAAAGCACTGCTAGCAACTGAAAATGCCTGCTCCACCAGTGACATGCTTCCTTCATCAAGCCTGTCCCCCCACCCCAGACAAGCTGGCCTGGAATTCACAGAGATCCACCTGCCTCTGCCTCCCAAGTGGCAGGATTAAAGGCATGCGCCACCAATACCCAGGCCAAGAACACACTGTTTATACCCACCCAAACAGGGCCACAAACTATGGGCCAAATATTCAAAATATCTGAGCCTATGGGGGTCATTGTTACTCAGAACATCACACACAATGAAAATAGTCCAGTAAAAGAAAGAAATCAAAAGGCAAAGAACATGAAAAACATGTCACCCAGAAGATAAACACTGTGGGAGACTGACTCAGTCTGCTTAATTTTTCTCAGAGAGAAAATGGGGAGAGAGAGAGAGTGGAAGAGACACACACACAGAGGGAGGGAAGGAGGGGGAGCGGGAGAGGGAGAGGTGAAGAAAAAACACAGAAACAGATTTTTTTCCTTAAAAAACCTTTTGGAGCCAGGCGTTGGTGGCACACGCCTTTAATCCCAGCACTCGTGGGAGGCAGAGGCAGACAGATCTCTGTGAGTTCGAGGCCAGCCTGGTCTCCAGAGAGAGAGTGCCAGGATAGGCTCCAAAGCTACACAGAGAAACCCTGTCTCGAAAAACAAAACAAAACAAAACAAACAAACAAACAAAAAAGACCCAAAAAACCCCCAAAACTTTTTGGAAACAAAGTCTAATGTAAGTGAGTCTGGCCTATAACTCATTTTGCATATGAGGCTTGCATTGAACACCTGTCTCCTCCTTCCAAGCACTGGGATTAAGGTGTGCAGCACACATCAGGCTCCTCTCTATGAACTGAGTATGTTAATATGGACACATGTTGGCTTTACCAGAGTGTGTCACTTGACACACAGAAGAGGGGTATGCAGCGCTGGAGGTGGGAATCAGTGTGGGTGGCCTTACTTTTGAAAACCCCAGAGATCCAAGAGGGTTGGTTATCAGCACCTTCAAGGATCCTCCACTTCTTGTACTGAGCAGTCATGCATCACATTGTCTTATTTTGGAACTGGGCATTCATTGTGGTCCAAGTGCTCCCTCAAAAATAGAGGAGTCTATAGGACAACATCTGTTGTCCCTATTGTGTAGTCTGTCTTCCAGGAGTTACTGGTATTCATCCCAGGACTGCTCCCCATGTCTTTTCAATGCACCCCAGTCCCCCCAACGCCCCATTCTGGCCTGGTGTTGTCAGTTGAGCTATCAAGACCTCCCTGTCTATAAATGCTGTGTAACACCCAGACACTGGACCTTGTAGTGAGGCACTTAGGACTTAGAAGCATCTAAAAGGCGCCCACACCGAGGTTCACATTCCAGGGCACTGAAGGATGTGACCAGAGGTGGTGAGACTGGGGGCTGTGGAGTTGGGGAACCCTGTAAGGACCACTGCCAGAATGAAATGGGGTCACCAGAGAAATGACTGTGCCATGGCACACTGTGGACAGGGAACCCTCTCTCTCCTACCTTACCATCTCTCCAGATTGTCAACCCTGGTTGACACCAGCCACCTGCTTTTTGACTCCTGAGAACATTGACTGTCTGAGGACTCCACATGATGCCCTGTCTCAGTCACCAGGGAGTGACCGCCATCCCTGCCTCACCTACTCTGGATCGATTCTCTCATTGCTTTAACTATTGGGTATCTGAGCATAGTTGGCAGAACTCGGCTCACAGGCTCACAGGGAATGACAGGTAGGTGATAGGAGTGCAAGCGGCTTCAATCATACCACGCGTGAGATTCATGATTTGTCAATCACCTGTGCCTATTGTTTCCCATCGCTTTTGTAAAGGATGGAATCACATACACCATTGTCACAAATGCTTTCATCCATGATCCACATGCTGAAGTATAAGCTATTTGATTTCAACCAGCAAGAAAACAATCAAAAGAATCCTTGGCACCACAGACCTGGAGACTGCAACCTTCTCATTATTCTTTGCTTCTAAAGAGCACAGGCCCTGCCCTTTTCTGCCCTTGGGATGACAGACTTCCTGCTCAGCAGCACCTGGCGTGCTGGGGTCAAGGTCTAGGTCATGCGAGCACCTCAGCAAGAGCCAAGGCTTGTCAGAGAGTGCTCATTAAAATTGTTTATAGATATGAGTAGCTGTCTATCCTGAGTCTATATTGTTTATATGTAAGTGAGGTTATCCAGCCTGGGTCCACAGAGGCACAAAGATGCCATTGTGGGACCAGGACCTGTCAACAGATCCTGGGCCAGCTGGGTCTCCAAACAGGACATTGAGGGCCAAGAATTGCAGAATGGGTAGGCAGCAGACAGAGCTCCTGCTAGGGAGGGAGCTGGGCTGAGTCCTTAGAGAGGGCAGACAGGGCAGCTCAGCCATAGACTCTGGATTCAGGGGGCTCTGGCCACCTTGTGCCCCTCTTGCCCTTTTGATTCAAAGGGACCTAGACTTGTGGTCACCTTGGTGGCCTGTCGGTGTTCAGACAAATGGGAGTGTTAATTTTAGTTTGATGGGGACTCCTGTCTGAGAAAGGTGATGCAATTGTACAAACACTGGCTCTCAACTGCCTGCGTCAGACCTAAGACCTATCACAGGCCACAAGATGCGGAAGGGGCTTCAATTGTGCAGCATGGGCTGAGGCTCCATCACTTCTTTCAGCAGGCCCTCCGATCACCAGCACAGCAGCTTATCCTCTGTTAAAGTCGCTGCCCTTGACATATCCCTTCGTGAACACACAATCATGACCCCCTGATGTGTATGAGCTTCACTGTAACACTGTGGAGCACAGGTTTCAACTCCACACTTCTCAGGAGTTTAGAACGTGACACAGAAGGTAGATGATGGGTAGTTGTGAGGAAGAAGGAGTGAGATGCTTGAGAGTCAGAAGGGCAATAATAGAGCCCAGATGGCTCCAGGGGCAGAATGCAGCAGTTCAGGTGACTGCGGGCTTGAGAGTGGCTAGCGGCTTCTCTTTCAGGAGACCTCGAGTCATCACATGTTGACCCTACCCACATTTAGGAAGGGCTTCCAGGCATGAGCAGCAGTGAGGTGATGTCCTCGAACAATGTGGGCTCTGGGAATCAATGGGACTGTGCACGGAGAAGAAGCTCAGTCCCTTTCTGATGAGGAGGAGCTGACAAGCCACCTTCCAGAGAAGGTGGCCAGGCCAGTCACGGTGCCCAAGGGGTAAAGCAAAGCTAGCGATTGAACTCAGCATTCCCTTACTGGCCCAGAGTGCAGACTCTGTTTCCCACCCCACACCTGAGTCACTTATACTCTCTGAGGTCCTTCAGGAGCAGCACCCTTGGATGGAACAGACATTGTAGATCTTTTTTCTGGAGGTGGAAATGAATGACCACCACATCTCAAAGGTAACAGCATCCACCCCCATGATAGACATGGATTTGGCCATGACAGATGGCCAGGAGGGGCGTGGCTAGTGTCATATGGCCATAAAGGGCATCCTTTGAGGAGCCAGCACAGCCTCATTGAGTCACCCCAGTGCCATGTCTTGTCTGAGAGCACACAGCCTGGCGATGAAGAGCCTGCTCCTGACTGTCACACTGTTTGTCCTGGTGGCTGTCCTACAGGCCCAGGATGACCTGCCCTTCCTCTCAGAAGAAAACAAAGTGAGGCAGGGAGGGATGGTGGACAGGTGTATGTGGAAGGCTTGACTGCTGTCCAGTGCCTGAGGACTGGGGCTAGCACTTGTGAGGTTTAGGTCTTTGGAGTCTGAGCAGACACTGCTGTTCTCTAGCACTCATGGGCTCCTGGGCCACAGAGGTGGAGCAGGAAGGGTCCTGGAGCAGTGACACCCAGAACCAGAAAGTCTCACTTGATAGGTCCTTTGTGTGTTGTTTCTTAGGCTCCTGAATGTTTTCAGCCTTTGGAGACAGACAGCTTCTGCTTCAACTAGACCACAAAACTGTAGTTATAATTGAATTTTAAGGAGCATGGGGTTGGGGAATGGAGCCTCACCAGTTTGGGGCTGCATCTTGGTCTCTGGGATGTGTGTTCAGGCTGCATGCCTATGGACAACCTGGGGGAGACTTGGGTTGGGCAAATGTGGGCTCAGGACTCTGTCTGCTACAGCTCTCAGGCATCTGGTTCGTAAAGGCCATAGCGATTCAAAGGAACCTGGCAGAGAAGAGGAGACCTGTGGTAGTGTTCCCTCACAGAGTGACATGCCCGGAACAAGGAACTTTGGAGATCAGGACCACTGTCATGTGAGTGCTCCCCATGTGTCTTTTCAACTTTATCTCCCCTCCTCTGTCTGTGTTTGGACACTGGTGACAGAAAAGGCCTTTCCTTTGAGGGACCACAGTCTCAGCATCCTAAAACTTGGAGGGTTTGATACTGGATTTCAGGGGTCATTGTTCTAAGGCTGATGAACCAGGTGATCCCAGTAGAGCACAGGCATGTGTTCTGAAAGAGGCTGCTGGTTGGTTTCCTGTTTTCCAGGTCTGAGGGCCAGTGCATTAAGGTAGGATTTCGCATCCAGAGAACAGAGGAGCCTGGTCAATACACCACCTGTGAGTCCCTGTCTCAGTTTCTTCTCCTGTTGCTTTGATAAAACTCTCTTTGTTTTTTCCTGTTTCAAGATTTTATTTTATTTACTTTTTTCTTATTTTTGCTTAAAAACTTTTCACACAATATATTTTTTTCATTTTTTTATTTAAAAATTATTTTTCATTTTACATACCCACCCAGTTCCTCCTCCTTCCCCTTCTTCTGCCTCCCTCCAGCCTCTTCCTCTTCCCACCCCCATCCACTCCTCAGAGGGGGTTAGCCTTCTTTGGGCTAACACAAAGTCTGGCATACCAAGTTGAGGCAGGATTAAGCCCCCCCCCCAATCAAGGCTGAGAAAGGTAACCCACCATAGGGAGTGGGATCCAAAAATTCATGCCCCTGGGTTAGGTCCTGGTGCCACTGCCAGGCCACCCAAAAGTTCAAGCCACATAACTGTCACCCACAATCAGAGGGTCTAGTTCAGTCTCATGCAGGTTCCCCAGCTGTCAGTCCATAGTCCATGAGCTCCCACTAGCTCGGGCCAGCTGTCTCTGTGCTTTTCCCCATCATGATCTTGACCCCCCTTGTTCATATGGTCCCCCCTCTCCCTCTTCATCTGAACTCCCGGAGCTCAGTCCAGTGCTTGACTGTGGGCACCACATTTGCTTCCATCAGTTACTGGGTGTAGGTTTTATGATGACAATTAGGATAGCCACTAATCTGATTAAAGGGGAAGGCCTGTTCAGACACCCTCTCCACTATTGCTGGGAGTCTTTGCTGGGGTCATCTACTTTAATCAACACTGCTTAAGGGAGAAAGGATTTGCTTTAGCTCACAGTTCAAGGTACAGTACAAAATAGTACAGTACAGTATAGTACAGTACAAAATAGTGGGTTATCCAGGCAGCTGGAGCATGAAGCAGCTGCTCGTCATACTACACCCATAGTCAGAAGACAACAATGAATGCATTCACACCAGTGCTCCGATGGCCTCACCATTTTACACAGTCCGGGATCTGATGCCCGAGGAATGCTCCTGCCCAAAACTGAGATGATTCTTCCACAATCTATTAACATAATCAATATCACACCCACGGTCATGGCCAGTGGAGCATCTCCCAGGTTATTACACCTGGCTGCACTTGATTATCCCTTGCTAGGCAAGCTTTGGGGTTGCAGCATCCTTGCCCTATGTACTTTTCAGGAAGACATACCCAGCTAATTCTCAGATGACTTTAGACATTGCAGACTGGTCCATAGATGAGACCATGCTTCCCTTTAGATAGTGCTGACCCACTGGCCAATAGGGAGACTGAAGCTTAGGATTTAGGAAACAAGGCATTGTAGCCTCCAGGGAACCAGTCAAGCAGAGCCTCCGTCTTCCATGACACCTGTGGTTCCAACTCCATAGCTATGGATAACACCTTGTGATAGGGCCCCAGCACATCTGTCTTGTGATAGGGCCGCAGCAAGGCCTGGAGCCAGCTAGCTGGGCGCTCATGGGTTATTGCTGAAACTTTCTAGACTGTTTCTTAGTGTCGTCTGAACATTGTCTTTGAAAAAGACACTACATACTCGTTTGTCTTTATTCTGTAGTTTCGGGCCAGATGTTCTACTACATCTATGAGCTTCCAGTGAAGGACCACTACGTCATATACATGGAAAACCTTTCGCTTGAGAAAGAATCCCAAAGGGGATTCCTCATAGGTGAGGGATTCCAGAGACTCCACCTCCTGCCCATGCCCTCTACTATCTGAATGTGCATAGCTATCCCCTGGCACCCTGTGTGTCCCTCTAGCAGCTCTGCATAAGGTGCTGTGTGGTAAGTGGGCATGCTCTGAAGTGGGAAGGTGTGGATTGTGCAGAACTTCCAGGGACATGGCCAGATGGGGCCTTGAGCCCTGACTAATAGGACAGAAGTTCCAGCCAGTGACTTACTACATGGCACTTCCAGGGGTCTCAGGTTTCATAGCAGACAGGCATCACTGAAAGGCTGTGTCCTAACAGATATCTATTATGGGCTGTTGTGGAATAGTAATTTAAGATGTGTTACATTTGTTTATGCTGTGGAACATTTATTTAATGATGCAAAGATGTGTTGCATTCTTTTATGTTGCATTTGTTTAACTCTGTGAAAGCTGTGTTACTTTGCCTGTCTAAATTGGTCTAATGAAGAGCTGAATGGCCAATAGCCAGACAGGAGAGGGATGGGTGGGGCTGCCAGGCAGAGGGAATAAATAGGAGGAGAAAATTTAGGTTTGAGAGAAGAAGGGGAGTGAGGAGTGAGAAAAGGAGGAGAGGAGGACTCAAGGGGCCAGCTACCCAGCCAACCACAGAGTAAGAAGTAAAGAAAAATATATAGAATAAAGAAAGGTAAAAAGCCCAGAAACACATGTAGTTAAAGAGAAACGGGATGATTTAAGTTAGAAAAGCTGGCTAGAAACAAGCCAAGCTAAGATTGTGCGTTCATAAGAAAGAAAAAGTCTATATATTTATTTGGGAGTTGAGATGTGGGTCCCTCAAAAAGAAAAGAGAAAAAAAAAACCAATTCCAATGGGCAATGACCCCCATGGACAGGAGGCAGACTAGTGACCTTGAAGGTCCTTCTTGGTTAGAATGTGGGGGTAGGTGGGTGGGTGGTGGGAAAAGGGGAGGAAGAGGGAAATGGGGTTGGTATGTAAAATATAAAATAAATTTAAAAAAGAACGTGACATTATTTGTCTGCTTAGGATGTCACCTATATGTTTGGTCATACAGTGGCCCTATGCGTCAGCGATACCCACTTCCTGTTCACTAGCTAAAAACTCTGAGATTATGTTCCTGAAGCTGGCCACCTGGTCTATTCCCTTATTTGTTCACTCCCTCCTCCTGAGGCTGCCAAGGTTCAAGCTTCCAAAGTACTGAAGTCAAGCAATCAAAAGTCCCCTTTGGGCTTCCCTAATTAACAAATCCCATCTCCATGCTAACTCTAAAGTCTCCTCCCCTCTTGCTCCCATCTTCTCCAGGTTGAGTGGCCTAGTGCTGGACAGTGCTTTTGTCTTGGTGTCATTGGCTCCCAACAGAGCTGAGCAGTCACACCCTCTCTGTCTCTGCTCACAGGAAGGTGTCCAGAAGAAAACCTGGAGGCCCTGGAAGAATTTAAGAATTTCACACAGCTCAAAGGATTTTTCCAAGAAAATATCATTGTGCCTGAGCAGAGAGGTGAGAAAACGCTCTGCTCCTTCCCTACCATGTGTCACCCGTGATTCTGTAACTGTTGTGTAACCATGTGCCTTCCTTCACCAGCAGGGCCCTTCTTATGATCTTAATCACGGGGCCATCCAAACTGCAGGTGTAATGTGGGTCTTCACCCTGGGGATACACTTTTTTTTTTAAACTTAAAAACTTAAATAAAAAACAATCTTATTTTACATACCAATCCCAGTCTCCCCCCCCCCCCACATGTGTCACCCGTGATTCTGTAACTGTTGTGTAACCATGTGCCTTCCTTCACCAGCAGGGCCCTTCTTATGATCTTATGGGAGGGTGAGGCCTTCTATGGGGGATCATCAAAGTCTGTCACCTCATGTGGGGCAGGTCCTACGCCCTCCCCCATGTGTCTAGGCTGAGAGTATCCCTCCGCAGGGAATGAGCTCCCGAAGCACCCCAGACACCTTCTTATATTTGATTTTTTTTTCTTGCTTTTACAGCACGCTGTGTTCCCAGACATGACAGTGGTAAGCAACCTTCTGAAGGCATCTGACAGAACCCAGAATCCTCAGTTCAGGGTTAAACTTTCTATCTGTTCTTGGCCCTCCTCCAATCCTCTCATTCAGGAGGGACGCTGTTTAGTCAGGAAGCAGTGACCGTTCCAGGAAGATAATTCCCAAGAAGTCTGCCCTTTCTTTTCTTGGAGTCTTTCCCATACCATGGTCTCCATTTGGTCTAATTCCATGCCCTCGGTACCCACCAAACACAATCAGAGGTCTACAAGGTCAAGGGAATCAGGATTGTTTAGGGGCCCAGGTATTCTCACAGGGACCTCCCAGAGGCTTGATGGAAGGAAGACCTTTAATAGGCACCTACCTACCATGTAGCTACTCTCTGACTGCTATCCTCATGGTAAGGGAAGGGTTTCTCTTTTGTGTTCCTCTCTCTGTCACAGCCCACCAGGACCACAACTGCCAAGCCATCTTTGCCACTAGTACCCAGCAATAACCTCACTGGACGACTCTTCCTCTGGACTACACTCCACTGAGCTGTGTTTCCCTTCCCTGAGACCCACTCCTTCCTTGATGGTTACTCCCCAGTGGACCATCATCCTGCTTTAGCTTTTAAGCCCTGTCTCTGCGATGTCTGAATCCAATAAAGAGTTGAGCATGTTTTCTGTGTTCAGATTTTTGCGGTAGGTCTTCTTAGTTCAAGTCTGATGAAATATTGGAATTAACAGATACCAGACACCAAGTAGCATGCCACTCAGCAGTCCTGTAGAGCTATGTTATGTGCCTCCAATGCTAAGTAGCTTCAGAAGATGTCTGACACTGGGGCAGGAGGATTTGGATAGCAACTAGGGTGGGCAGGACTGGGCCATGGCATTATCGTTGCAAATGTCTGAAGGTCCCCTACAGAGATCTTGCTGTTGTTGTTTGCTGCAGCTCCAGGCAATGAAACACAAACCACAAAACTCAACAAAACCCACGTGGAGTTCATTGGGAAAGGAAGGGGCTGGTGTCAGTGACAGGAGTGGAAATGGAGAGAGAACAAGCAGAGGTGCTTGCTTAAATGGGAAAGCTTTCACTTGCATACAAAGTCCTTATGCAGCCATGTAATGCATGAGGTAGCCACACAACGGCCCTTTGAGCTGTCTAAGTATTTGCCTGAATGCTGGTATGCATACCCTGACAATTGGCAGGGAGCAGGGCTAGCATAATGCCAGGATATCAACACTTGCTACACTGGTGAACTTCATGGAATCCCATGAGGGAGTTAGCTTTGAATAACCTAGGAGCAGTGGCAGGGGTGGAGGGAGGAGGATTGCAGGACCCTCCCTCATTACCCTCAAGCAATGAAGACCTGGATGCAGATCTCTGGGTATTTTTATTTACCTTGGCTTTTCTGTTATTGGTCCGTATTTGAGGTCTGTGTTGATATTGCCTCAGGGGCATGGTGGGACCACAGTAATAGAGGGCTGGGACAATACTTTGAATGATCAAGATAGACCCAGAATTTGCCAATCTCAGTGGGACATGTAATTCCTGGAGAATGAGCGTGCATCATCCTTTTCCTCTGAGAAACTGCCCATTGCTCTTCAATGAGCATCAGCAGCAACCTTCAGCCCAGCTCCCACCCCCATCTGTTGTTTCTCCTTGCCCCTCTCTGCCTGGACTTGGTCCCCTGGGAAGGGAGTCAACCCCTCAGGTATATGCTGGAACCTGAAGCAGCAGGGACGATTTGGAAGGAAGTGATAGCAAGAAAATTACAAAGCTGAGTATTGTGTGTGTCTCTGCTGTGTGAGACCCAAGTATATTATGGAAATATCAAAGGCCTGCATTCAAGAATATAAAAAAAATAAGTAGACATATTTCACTGAGCTCAGGATAAAAAGTGCATTTCATACTATTGAAGCAGTAAGGTAAAAAAATCTTATGTGAAAAATACATTTGACTTACTGAAGTAGATAAGATTTAAAACTGACTGGATTGAATCCAGCACTTGGGCAATGAGGCGGGCAGATCTCTGTGAGCTTGAGATTAGTTTGGTCTATGTGGGGAGTTCCACACATAGAGATGCAGTCTCAAAACAAACCAAAACTTAGCATGTGTCTAAGACAGTTGATTTTTCATTGAATTTTTTCAAGGAGTTTTAATACACGATTCCATTCCATGTTTTATGCATTTTAATCTGTGCTTCTAGCACAGTTTGTCACCCAAATCTTCCTCTGTGGTATCATTTGTGGGCAGGTCCTCCTCAACACTCCACCCATGGAGGTGCCTTTAGATTATCCTCTGGAACCGGTGCAATGTTGTATGACTTTTCCTGGGGATAATGTGAGTGTCCATTCACTCCAGACAGAGCAACGACAATAAGTAAAGAATCCATTTCACCCAAGTCTATCTGGCTGACCCATTGCATGTATTAGTACAGTGTGTCAGAGGCTATTTTGAATACTGTGTGTGACTCGGGATGCTGCATCCTCAAAACTTCCTTCTCCATTGGTGATGCCGCATGAAACACTGAGTAGCTTGCTCTCTGTCCACTGGTTCTAGACAGCTCCAGCAAAGAGTCTCCTCTTTCCTAGCAATTATTTACTATTTATAGAACATAGGTGGTAGGAAAGGGCCATGAATCTTGCACATTTCTTGTGAGTTTTATGGGCTTCCTGCAATTCTCTCCACAATGGAATGTTTCATTGTTGTCAGATTTTTCTTTGAGCTATCAGCTCACAAATTTTAATGACACAGAGTGTAACATCAATAATAAAACACCCAGAAACTGATATTGGGGTTCAAGCTTCAAGCTGAAGATCAGAAAAGCAAAGCAGCCAAACTCTACCTCAGGCTCAAAGGTCTGATCCTGTCTCCATGAGCTGTCCATCAAGCCTCAGACTGCTGCCTCTACCTCAGGCTCAAAGGTCTGATCCTGTCTGCATGAGCTGTCCATCAAGCCTCAGACTGCTGCCTCTCCTCAGTGTGGCTGAAGAATCATTGCCCGATACTGACTACTGAAGACCCTGCTCTTTTACACCTCTTTAGTACTGGGATGAAAGATGTGAGCTCTGTTACTCTTTTAGACTGATTCAGTCTCAGAAAGATCCATCTGCCTTTGTCTTCTGAGTCTTGGGATTAAAGGTGTGTGCCACCACTGCCTGGCTTCTATGGCTAACTAGTATGACTGCTTTGCTATTTTGATTTTCAGTGGATTTAATAAGTCATAAACAATGTATCACCACAATAGAGATTTAATAATTATGAAAGCTCTGCCTATAGCTTAGGCTCGTTCCTAACTAGCTTTTATAACTTAAAGTAACCCATTTATATTAATCTACTTTCCATCATGTGGTGTCACCTCTCTTCCATCTTGCATCTTCTGCTTCCTCTCCATGTCTCCTGGTGTCCTCCCTGTTCCCCAATTATCTCCTCCTACTTCCTCTTTCTGTCTGGGAGTCCCATCTATATATTTTTTCTAGCTATTGGCTGTTTAGCTCTTTATTAAACTAATCACAAGAATACATCTTTACACAGTGTACAAATATCCCACAATACTTCAGTCTGAAAGAAACAGGTACACAGTTCTCCACCTTGTTCCTCTCTTACATTCTTTCTGCTCAGTCTCCTCAGAAGCTCACTGAGTCTTGGAGACACGTGGATAGCAGACACCTTTTCTTTCATATACAGTAGTAGTTATATAGTCTCAGCAACTTGGGAAGCTATGAAGCTCTGCAGTAACCAGTACTGATTGGAAAGAAAAAGTAATGGTTTCCCTCTGTGATTGAGGCTGCATATGGCAGTAATCTATGAGCATGAACACGTATGTTTAGAAGACTTTTTTTTGGGAAAATCATTGTTGTCTAATAAAACAAGAGCACTAATCACATCCCAAGATTTTGACCTTTGTAGCTACAAGTTTTGCCCTTGCTCACAGAACTGAACAAGAGTTCCCTCCTGTGCAGCCTGTCTTGTTTTTTATTTTTTATTTTTTTATTTTTCGAGACAGGGTTTCTCTGTGGCTTTGGAGGCTGTCCTGGAACTAGCTCTTGTAGACCAGGCTGCTCTCGAACTCACAGAGATCCGCCTGCTTCTGCCTTCCAAGCGCTGGGATTAAAGGCGTGTGCCACCAACGCCTGGCCTGTGCAGCCTGTCTTAATTTCCCTTGTAAAGCGGCTGGTTGTGCCGATTGAAAGGAGAAAAAGTGACAAGGTGGGTCCCTCTGGTGGGTCCTGCCAAGGTATGCCCCTAAAAGAACAGGCCATGTGCAACAGGGTTAGTGCAAGAAGTTTATTGGGGGAGGGGGAGGGCGAGAGTGAAAGAGCAAACAGCCATCTTGGTCTTGGAGTGGGGACATGAGAGAGAGAGAGAGAGAGAGAGAGAGAGAGAGAGAGAGAGACAGACAGACAGACAGACAGACAGACAGACAGGAAAGCAAGAGGAGCAAGAGAGAGAGGACAGTGACAGACGGGCACTTTTTAAAATTGCTATTATTTTTTTATTAATTAAATTTATTTTATATTCCACCACAGTTTCTTCTCCCTCCTCTCCCCCCACACCCCCAGCCCTCTGTGCCCCCCAAATCTACTCCTTCATTTCTGTTCAGAAACGGGCAGGCCTCCCATGGGTGTTAACAAAGCATGGCATATCAAGTTGAGGCAGGACTAAGCTCCTCTCCTCATATTGTTATGCCCAGGGTCGCAGAACCTCCCCCCACCCAACAAGACCACCACAGTGCCAAGTGCCGACGCAAACACACAAGTGTTTATTAAGAACAAACTAGAGTTTGGGGCATCCATGCAGCACTCTGACACGGGATGAGAGGCAGGGGAGTGAGCTTATGATGGGGAAAACAGGAAGCCGGGGAAGTACAAGCCTTGGCCTTTTCTGATTGGTTCAGGGGAGATGCTTCCTGGGTTGATTGGTCCTGGGGATAAGTAAGCATTTGGAAATTTCCACTGGAGCATCTGGTGAGCTATTGGGACATCAGGTGACCATGATAAGATGTTTTTCCTCAGCATCAGGCTGATTTAGCAGCATTTGGGGGCCCTGAAGCAACTATTAGATGTTTGTGGTTTTTCTGGAAACTGGGTTCAGGGTCTGATCAGCAGCTTCTCAAGATGGTGTCCAGCATAAAATGGCATTAGTCTTGCCTGCTGGTGTCTGGCCGCTCAGTATTAAGGCTTGGCAAGGCAACCCAGTATGAGGAATAGGCTCCCAAAAGCCTACCAAAGCATCAGGGGCAGGTTCCATTCCTACTCCAAGGAGTCCCATAAGTAGACCACGCTATACAACTATCACACATAAATAGAGGGCCTAGGTCAGTCCTGTGAGGGCTGCTTAGCTGGCAGTCCAGTGTCTGTGAGCTCCTATGAACCCAGGTTAGTTGTCTCTGTGGTTCCCTTGTGATGACCTTGACACCCTAGCTCATGCGATCCTCTTTCCCGCTCTTCAACAGGGTTCCCAGAGCTCGGCCCAGGGCTTGGCTGTGGGTCTCTGCATCTGCTTCCATCA